ACATTAAAAAAATTTTGCTGGCAAGTTGTTCTAAGAATATATGAATTTATAAAATTAGACAATTTTGCCAAAAAATTGCAACAATAACTAAATGTGTCCTGTATGGTTTAAATTATTTAATGTCGATAGCTTTATTAGCAAAAGAAGTACAATTTTTTAAAGTTAGGTCTGCACAGTAACTTTTGCGAAGCCCTGTATAAATAGGTGATAGGGGGAGAAAAGAAAAGGGGAGTTTTTTTCACTTCCTGCGTCCTTGTATATTTACAGTTAAAAAAGAAATAAAATTAGAGTATATGAGTATATTGGTGGCTACTAAATGGAATTACCCATAATAAAGATTTTAACTTGACAATAAAAAATACATTTTTTCTAATTTCTAAAATTAAGTATTTTCGAGAGAGGCGAGCTTTGTTGTTTTACCGAATGAGTGGAGGTGGCTATAAAAGAATTTCCCTTTAGATGCGTTCTAGTTAGACGTCAGTGAATTCATAGTCATCGTCGCATGTCGCACGTCTGTGAGTCGGGTGTTACCTATAAAAGCTTATTAGCGCCCGTCTATTAGTCGGCTGTTACTGAAAACGTAAGTATTTTGTGTCCGTTCCTAAATCGGTTTACCAAAAAGACTTGTTGAAAATGGAAAACGTAAGGGGAAAACAGGTATGCCTTCTATTATCGTGTCAAAAACCATAATTCATTTTAATTACAGTCGCAAAATATGCCTTCACCTGTATCCGACAGAACTCGAAAAATTATACTACTAGTTTCTCCACCATTGCATAAAGACGACGTAAGTTACGAGGAATACTTTTCTGATGATTCACTTATGGAAGACAAGGACCAAGTAGAAACCGAAGTTTTCGATGAAGAATTTTCCGATGTCAATGATGATTTATTATTAGGTAATGAAGAAACTACACAATACATGACAAACGATACAGATATGGACGCTGTAAATAAAGAAAATATTGCTGAAGAAAAAGAAGACAGTGTAGATGATTTGCCTCTGAATTACTATGGCAAAGATCGGTGTTATGTTTGGAATAGTTTTGAACCAACGAGTTCTAGAACAACTGCGAGTCATAATATTATTAAAATGAAAATTCCTGCTTTGCAAGGTAAAGCAAAAAAATTTTGACAATACTTCTACGTTGGAAAACGTATGGAGATTGCTATTTGACGAAACAATTATTAATGAAATAGTTACGCTTACCAATCAAAAATTACACGCCATACGAGAAAAAATAAAAAATAATAAATCACCTAATTATAAAGACACAGACTCTATAGAAATAGAGGCCCTTATAGGTTTTTTGATGCTTTGTTCCATTTTTAAATCCGGTAAAGAGGACTTATCATCTCTTTTTTCGACTGGTGTTGGAGGTCGTCCAATATTTCGAGAAATAATGTCTCTTAAACGTTGTCGGACACTTTTATTAGCCCTTCGATTTGATGATGCTCTTACTAGGCAAGCTAGAAAAGAAACCGATCCTGCTGCCGCTGTGTCATTTATTTTTAACAGATTTATTTCCAACTGCCAAAAGAACTATACCATCGGCCATTATGCTTGCATAGATGAAATGTTGTTAGCATTTAGAGGAAAATGTCCTTTTAGAGTTTATATACCGAATAAGCCGGCGAAACACGGCATAAAAATTATGTGCCTCACTGATGCTAAGTCTTCGTATCTTTATAACGCGTATATATATACTGGCAAAGATAGTGATGGTGCCACTTTACCGGATAATGAAAAAACATTCTGTAAGCCAACTCAAGCTGTTCTCAGACTAGTCAGGCCTATTATCAATTCAAATGGAAACGTTACAGCTGATAATTGATTTTCTTCTTTGGAAGTACTTGAAGAGCTCAAAAGTAGAGGTCTTACTTACGTTGAGTCACTAAAAAAAAAATAAACGAATAATTCCTCCACAATTTCTTAACTGAAAGGGAAGGGCTCTAGGTTCCTCGATGTATGCGTTTACAAAGAATTTTACTCTTTTATCACACATGCATTAAAATAAAACTGTTCTGTTGGTATCATCTATGCACCACTCAAAATATACAGATCTCTCAAATTCAAAGACGGAGATTATAAGCTTTTATAATTCCACCAAATCAGGTGTGGATACCCTTGACCAGAAAATTGCAAATTATTCCCCAAACCGAAGGAAGGCAGTATTTTATAATATGATTGCAGTAAGTTGTGCAAATTCCAGGATTATATTTCAGACTATTCATAAAAACGAAAACGAAAATAATTTTAACTTTATACAGGGTGTCCCAAAAGTCAACGATATCCTTTGAAGGACTAATAGGTCAGCTCATGACTAATCAGAATATCAAAACATGACATTAGTAAAAAATCATTAGTTTTTAAGATATTGGCATTTTTATGAATTCTGTGAAACTTGACACATAAAATCAGTTTTTCGAGTGCCACAACTACAACATATTCTTAGATTATATTTTATTTTGCGTAACCCTAAATAGGACTGCTATTAATTACAATTCAAAATTAAATTAATAGTACATTTCGTAGCTGTGGCACTCAAAAAACTGATCTAAGGTGTCAAGTTTTAAAAATTCATAAAAATGACTATATCTCAAAAACTAACGATTTTTTACTAAGGTCATATTTTGATTTTCTACTTAGTCATGAGGATATCGTTGACTTTTGGGACACCCTGTATACAATCTTGCCATTCGAAAACACATTGGCAGAAGATTAAAGATTCCTAATCTACCTGCCGATTTGCAGAAAATTATAACACAGATTATTGAACCCGATACAGATAAAGAAAAAGAAAATCAAGACGTTCGTACCGATAAGCTGGAAAAACGAAAAACATGCCGATATTGTCCTCAAAAAAAAAGCGAATGACTGCATATAAATGTTTACTATGTAGTTCACCAACATGTTTAGAGTGTTCCAAAAAAGTATGCAATATTTGCTGTGAAAACAACTAATTTTTTGTTGTAATAATTTTTGGAATTTGTTTTTTTTTTAATTATTATTTTTTTGTTTCATACATTTTTTTATAAAAATGTATCGGTATTATATTAACAGTATATTTCATAAAAAAAGTAAATTAGTGTGTATTTACTAAAAAAACATAGTGACAAACTAATAGAATTAAAATTTAACAGCTGACTGAGGAACGTATGTTACCTATAACGTTAGAATTAAAATTTACTTACCGACTAAGAGACGGATGTTACTCATAAGGAAAATTAAAAGATGTTATCATCTAAGGCAGCGGTTCTTAACCTTTTTGGCTGGCGACCCACAATTCAAAAATATTAGAAGCTCGCGACCCGATAAAAAATAAAATCATCAATTTTCTACATTTTCTTAATTTATATTAAGGATGCAGTGATTACGGCGCACTTTTTCATAAAGTCCCGCGACCCAAATTTGGGTCGCGACCCGAGGTTAAGAAACGATGATCTAAGGGTTAAACAATCACAGCACCGGCCGATTTTTTAAATAGTTTTTTTTTACAAAAAAAGCACCAAACGTTCCCTTACAAACAGCGACATTTCTCATTTTATGAAAAATTCAAGTTTCGATGAGTATTACGTTTAGCCAATTTTATTGAAGTGAAACTTCTTTGGTGGCGTTCTGATATATGACGAGAATGGAGAGTAAATTGGAAAAAATGTAATATTTCGAGATTTCGTTACACGAGAGAAAAAAAGATATAACGTAGAGAGAAGGAGAAAGAGAGCTATACGAGTGAACCCGAGTGAATCCGATCGCCCCTCAACAAATGCATTGTAAGCAGATTGCCGGCATAGGGCCTATGCCGGCAATCTGCTATGCCATAGGCGAGGATTCAGTTTTGTTTTGCATTTGCTAGTGTGTATTTCGAGCGTTTTAACATAAATTAATTTCTTTTATTTAAAATTATAAGTTATAATGTCCTACACATTGCAAGAGAAAATTTACATTTTGTACACCATTTCTACAAAACTTTCTACCGTTTGGTTTTAAACATTTACACAAAAAATTGCAAATTTTGTTAAAAATGTTCAAAACCGTTAAACCCGCACATGTCTAAAGTAATTGGGTAGCGAGATACTATTTTTTATAATCGAACAAACCTGTTATTTTTAAGTCGTGTTTATTGGAAAATGTACATTTTCGTGAAATAAACGATATTTTAGCGCAAAAATTACTTAAAAAAATAAAAATTGTTACCAAATGGTTTATTTCTACCAAAAATAAATCAAATAAACAACTATGAGTACGGTAGAGTATCGAATATTCTACTGTTTTTATTATTTTATAATAATGCGGCTTATTTGTAATAATGCGGTGTAAAGCCGACAAAAGACAAAGGCGTACGCCACGTGGCGCTCTCAAAGCACGCCGCTCTTTAGACACGGGCCGAGAGCAAATTCGCTTCTGTTTTTGTGCCAAGGATATAAATTTATTTCAGATGAAATTAATCAGTAGTTAATAACTTCTATTAGATAGCAGTCACTGCTAAGCAGTCTGTGTTCGATAAATTTTGCCCTATGTTTTAAGGTATTTATGAAATTTTATTATTAAAATAATTATAATAAACCAGCAGAACGGATTTTAGGGCCCGGGAAATAGTTCCCTTACAGGGCCCTAGTTTATAAGAAGTTTCACTTCTACCACGTGTACTATGCTGCACATGATTTTTTTTAAATTAAAAGGGGTTCAGATTATGTGTGTATAGGTATTTAGGAATGTAAAATAACCCATTTTGAATCATTTGGATAAAATAAATTTAGGTGGTTTTTGGACACAACGAACCAGGGTCTATTTTTTTAGAAATACCCTTATTTTTTATTTTGGTTCTTATTTAATATCTTGTATAATATGATAATATTGCCATTAAAATAACAAAAATAAAATTCAAATTTTGAACCCCCATTACCCAAAAACTACCCCACTAGATACAGTTAAAGTGCAATTTGTATAATAAAAGCATATCAATATTTGTTTTATTCAATTTAAATGTTTTTTGTAGCCCGCGATTCGGATACAACCGTCGAGCTTCGAGAAGAAAAATATGAAATACATATCGAAAGAACAAACGCTGGTCTTGGCCTGTCAATAGCTGGAGGTAAAGGATCGACTCCTTTTAAAGGAGATGACGATAACATTTTTATATCGCGAGTAACCGAAGGAGGTCCAGCAGACTTAGCCGGGTTGCGCGTTGGCGATAAAGTACATTCAGTAAACGGAGTACCCGTCCTAGGTGTAAAACATTACGATGCAGTCGAAGTGCTTAAGGCTTCTGGGTCCATATTAATTTTAGAAGTGAGTCGAGAGGTGACAAGAATAGTGGAAGGCTTAAATAGTGATTTATCTTATACGGCTAAACCTGAAACCTATAACATTCCTCCTCCACCCTTACCACCAGTTGAAGACGACGCCGCCCTTCAAAAGGTCTTAGTAAACACCACTTTGATCAGAGACTCTAGGGGCCTCGGTTTTAGTATAGCTGGTGGCAAAGGTTCTCCACCTTTTAAACCCGATTCAGATGCTATTTATGTATCACGGATTACGGAAGGTGGTGTCGCCTATAAGGATGGAAAACTTTGTCTGGGAGATAGAGTAATTTCTATTAATGGATCAGATTTAACTGGTGCTTCACATAACCATGCGGTTGCTTTATTGACCGGTCTGGAACGATTCGTGCGCTTAACAGTGGAAAGAGAAATTGCTGTGTCAAAAAGTAGCCCAAGCGCCTCCCCTGGGCCAAAGCAATCCCCCAGGTTATTTGAGGGACCTAAAACATACACAGGACCGTATTCCGTTAATCGGCCAGGTTATACGGGATACAGAAGATCACTTGAATCAGATGTTAAGAAGGTATGTTTACAGTTTATTAGTAACTATTATAATATATACCTAAATATTATATTGAATGTAATGTTACTTATTTCATTTAAATACGCAAGCAAAATCCTTGAACACATAGGAACCCAGGATTTTAATGCAATTTAAAAGACTCTTTTATAGTTTTATATAAGTTTGAGAACCCCGATCCACACTAAAAGTAGGATATTTTTATTTTAAGAGTTAATTTGGTTTTATAGTAAAACTTTTATTGAAATTTATAATATATGCCTTAAGTAGATTAAATTTAAACTACATATAATAATATTACGTTTATGTAGCACTAAAAATCATAAATATGCAGGGTGTCCTATGCTTACTGGGATATATTTCAACTACGAATTCCTTGATCATTTCTAAATTTTGACTACCAACTTTCTAAATTTACAAAATTGATGAAGATGTAAAGTAGAAACCACGAATATATGAACGTGACTCATCCGACACATTCGTACGAAGCAATCTATCGTTTGTAAAATATCTTGAGTGTAATGTTGGTTGCTATACTTATGATATATTTGCTTTTAAAGTTAAATAATTAACATCTAACATAATTAACATCTACGATAATTAAATAAAATGTAATTTTCTTAGAAACTAATTAATAAATAAACTTTTCTTTTAACTTTAATGAAATATTCTATCATCTGATGACAGAACGTACACTCGTGGCGACATCTCTGATTTTAATAACAAATTTTTAGACAGATCCAACCTCACTTTCTTCCAATTAAATTCTTTGTCTATGGTATTTTTTGGAAACGTAGAAAAAGTATAGTCTGAAACACGTTTGGAATTGCATATTCCCCTCTCGTGAAACCGTCAAACTTGTTACAGAATATACTATTCTTTTAACTGTAAACGCAAATATTTCAGAATTGGTGACCAAAAAACAAAAATGTTTACGCAGGTCAGGTACAAAGTGAAAGATATTTAAATTGTGTGGATATAAAAACAACTTGCGTTAGTTTCACGAAATTTATTAAATATTGACAATTGTTTCGCTACACAGTAGCTTCTTCAGAATGTATTAAACTAATACTATATAGTACAAAATTTATATAATAAAAATATTTTTGTATTCTAGCCTAGAATTTCTAGGTAATGATTTTTATACGACATCTACCTGTGTTACATAATATAAACCACTGCCACTACAACGTTTAAAACGATTATTAATCCGTAAACACACAGTAGAAACACGATATGCAAAAACAAAGATCATATGACATATAAAAACAAATGGCAGACGGTAAAGTTGGTTGCCTTACTATGTAATAAAATATTATATTATTTTTTGCAGACTTACACTTGAAATGTGAGCGCTTCTAATAGCAATTCAGAAATTTTAAATTTTTTTAAATATTTAAAAAAAAAAATTTGCAATATAGAATTATCAAAATCGTGCATTCAAAACTTTACTCTAAGGCGAGCTATGTATACTTTCAATTTATCTTTTTGACTTGTACTAACCATTTTCTGTTGTAGTTAATATGATTAATAAATTAATTAGTGATTTAAAAAAAATGTGTCCCAAAAATATTTTTATTATTATTATTATTTCTTTGTTTGTATCTGCAACCGATTAAAAATTACTGATTTTTTTGGAAAATTGTCATATTTTGCATAATATAATTTAAAAAGAATTTTAATTTCACACGGCGATTTTATTTCGCTATAAAGGTGGGTGATTCGTAACATTAATCGTTGTATTAATTCTAGAATAAAATCTCAAATTCTGATTATTTGCATACTTATACTTGAAATGTGAGCGCTTCTAATAGCAATTCTGAAATTTTAAAAATTTCTAAAGATTTTGCAATAAAGTATTATCAAAATCGTGCATCAAAAACTTTACCCTGGGCGAGCTATGTGAATTATTGAAAATTTCTATACATATATATCGAGTCAAATGTAGTCAAAACCTTGACAAAGTTTTTAAAAAAAAATTAAGTCGCTAACTTCAACGGTTCTAGAAATATGAATTTTTATTCAAATGCGCGTTAGAATCCACATACCTAACTGAAAACAAATTTTCGAATGCAAAAACGAAAAATTCAACAATACTTGATTCAACTACCTAAACCCCGTATAGCATACGCCCTGCCCACTGACGGCGCGAGCAGATCAGGCAAGACAGAGCAAGCATGTCGACAGGGTTTCGAATATCCGACCACTGCTCTGGGCATATACTTTCTGTTTTCGAACAGTTCACAGTTGTATATATCTAGGTATATACCAGAGAAATCTAACGCGCAAGGTAAACTTGGAGTGTATCCAGAGTCCTAGTTTTCGAACGCGCTCCTGGAGTATGGTAGTGTTTATGGAATGAATCTTTTTTGAACTCTAATATTGTATCTATACTATTTATTTTTGCCATATTTATTTATTTTTAAGTAAAAATTTTAATATGTAACACTGTACATGAGTGCTGCCGTGCTAAGCACAAATGTTTTAACTAATACTTAGTTAAACAGTAGTTACCACCTTTTTGCTAAGCATATGTCCGCTTTTGAACTCATATATACACTAATTTTAATTTGTAACATTGTAAGAGTCTTTATACGCGTATAAAGACATTTACAATGTAAAAATTAAAAGTATATATGAGTTGTTGAATCAAAAGCTGACATATCCCCTACGCGTATATATACTATCTGTACTTACCATTTTATATTCTATAGAGTCTATATATTGTGATTGGCATGCCATGTACTAATGATACCTAAACTACTAGTACTATTGAAATCGTATGGATTGCATTACAAGTTGTAATTTTCAACCAATAAATAATATCACAAACATTTAAACGCCTATTATGGGCGAATAATGAGTCCACTATGAAAAGAACTACCTAAATATTGAGGTAACATATGAAAACTTGGTATAGCCATAATAAGGGGTCAGAAGTGACTTTAGCGGTGTTCAATAACTGGTCATGCAAAAAATAACTTGTCCCGTTTTAGTAATTTATATTTTTATTTAAATAGGTCAACGAACAAGAACCGATAAAGCAGGATGATCAGGTATCAAAATTAAACGGTATTCATCACGTTCCAATACCAGCACCACGAAGCAGCATCGATCATAGCGGCCATCCAAAGCAACCCATATCCGCTAGTATTAGCGGAAACAGTGTGCACAACCATTTGAATGAAAAAAATAAAAAGGCGACGGCAATGTCATCACTCGACGGCGACGATTCACAGGTACTGCCGCCCAAGCCTATAACCAACGAAGAATTTCAGGCAATGATACCCGCTCACTTCCTTAAAACATCCCAAAAACAAACCAGTCCTTCCAGCGATATTTCTCACAATCTGACCGCGAACACTAACTCTGTAACAACAGTGACGATAAAGAAGCCCGATACGATTGAGCTGCCGCCGGCCCCTACTGGCCCCGGCCGCGTTACAGAAACAATCACCAAGAGTACATTTACGGAGACCGTGGTCACTCGCATCACCGACAATAAGTTGGATGAGCCATTGATCATCGAGGTACGATTATCGTAGATACCGAACAAAATATTTAGTTTCTGCATCGTATATGCAGGGTATTTCCAAAATGTCCTACTTACTTACAGAATGCTAAAGAGAAGGTCATTTTAAATAATAAAAATAATATTTTAATCCTAAATACACTCCTGGGCAAAATAGTAGCTACAAATAAAATTTTGGTAGTTTATTTTAATCTTTAAATTAATTGAGACCCCTAGAAGCCAAGTCATACAAGCAAAATGCTTAGTTTTGAGATAATCATGTTTAAAGTTAAAATCCTTTTATTATTTGGAGTCAAAATTATTTTTTGTTTTTCAAGTTTTACGCTTGTAATCAATTTTATCCTTTGGCTACCAAATAAAATTTAATTTTTACTATCTATTCCTGTACTTAAGTTATTTTTTATTGACTATTGTCTGTTATTCCAGTTTACTGCAATGCCAATGACTTTGATTGAGAAAACTGTGGAGAAATTAGAGTCATTCTTTTCGCTGAATCATACATAATCATTCATAACTCGTCCAAAATTAGGCCTGGAATTATGGTGCATTAAAGAAAAAACTGGAATACAAAAGTAGTTTTCTACTCCTATTGCATATTATTGACATAACAACGTGAATAATGAATTCAATATTCACGTTCTTAGGTATCTGTGATGGGCTGATTTCAATATTCACTATTATTTAACACAGTGACTAGAGGCACGCTAACGTACCGCGATTGAAAATGTTAAAGGCACGTTAGTTACGTCATAATTATAATCCGTTTTTGTTCCCCGAGCGTTTAATATTTGACATCAAGCTAGATAGCTCATATGGTAGGGCGGTCGCTTGGCATAAAAAATAAAATACCCGAATTAATTCAATTCCTATCTGCCCACAATGTAGACATCATGTTCGTAAATGAAACTAAACTCAAACCAAGTGATAAACTAATAATAAAAAACTACACTGTCCTTAGACAAGACAGACCCACAGACTAGTGAAGGGAGAATCGAATGATTTTAAGAATCGAATACTTTGCATTCGAATAGTCTAAAGAATCGAATGATCATTCGAATGCAGAGAATCGAATAGTTTGTTCCGAATCGGAACCGATAATAGCCGAACACATTTATTGAATGAATGTTTTCGGAACAAACTATTCGATTCTCTGTATTCGAATGGTCATTTTATTTCTTGTTTACAATTCGTTATGGGCTAAGCGGGTTGGCGTCGCACTGGGTGCAATATAAATTCTAAACCGGCTAATATACCTACTAATTGATTTATGACATGCTTTCTTTATTTTTGTCATAAAACATAAACCATATTATTTGTCAGGTTTTGTAAATAGGTGAAAATTTATGGCCTATTTTAATAAAGTAAAAATGTATGCTCTTTATTTTTAATAAAATAATACCTTTTGATTAAAAATTAAAATCCTTAAGGAAATAGTCACCAAAATTCAACATTCTTTATTTTTAATTTGGTTGGAACGTCGCACATACAGGTATTTCTAAGATCTGGGCGGCCAAAATGCCTGTTATCAAAGTTTAAATGACATCGTTAAAACAGACAACCTGCGTTGGACGACACTTCTGAGAACCGTATCCAACCGCTTACTCCCTTTTCCCGCGCACCCCACGTACGTATGATTAGTCTGAATTTAAATGTCTAACCTAGTGTACATATCAACTTTTGGCGTGCTTATAAGACAACCTGTTTTTTATGTTAATATTTGCACCACAAGTTAATCTAACAAGTTTAAAGTGATGGATCGTAATACACCAGGTAATAAACTTACAAATTATCATATAACAAATATAAATAACTTATTTAAATAGAAATTTTTAATTATTGAAAGTGAACTCTTTTTCTTAGTCTAGTTTTAATGATTTTTTTCTTTTACGAAGGTATTTGTTATGGTATCAAGCTAGATCAAGCTATGGTTTTAATTTTTATGTAATATTTACCCTTTCTTTTAATAAATAACACCAAAAGATTGCCCGGAAAATTCCGGATAACTTGTTTTTTTGATACTTCAAAGATTTTGGACAAAAAAATCGAAAAAATAAATAATATTATTTTTAATATAAATAATATTTTTTTTTACATTTTTCAAAGTGTATGTTTGTCTTTGGTGTACCAGGTGTTTCGGAAGTAAGGATAGTAACTCGAAAACACTTGTTTGATGGCATGGAGAGTGCGGATGTGTCTTATATTATAACGTATGTGTTAACCTGTACCCATTGCATCCTATGACTCCACCATTGATCAAGATTTTAGTTCATGGGGCAGTAATATATTGAAAAAGCATTGTTACCTATTGGTCAGCTTTCATAGGAGGCAGCTGAAGCTCGTAATAAGCATTTCAGGAGATATCGACAAAACTTTGCAAGAACATTTTTTCGAGAAAACTGCAATAGGGACAAATTAAATCGCCTTTTAATTAGTTCAGATCCTATGTTGAAAAGCATGAGAACAATATAGAAAAGAAAAGCTAACACGTTCTTGCCAGAAGCAATATCAATGTTCATATCTGAAGATCCATACACGACCACGGTGTGGTTTAAAAAAGTTAGATGTACAGTTCGAGAACCCCAAAGTTATAAACGGGGAATGGTTCTACATGGTTTTAATAAATAATTAATGAAAAAATTAAAATATTTCCCTGAGCGCATTTTTTTTTTCGCCTTATTAAATATAAGAACATTATTTGAGAGGTTAGATACACTAACTACGTCAAAAAAAAGCAATTTTTACGTTTTTTTTTCAAAGACTGGTTTATTCATTTTGAAATAAATATTTTGACAGTTATTTTGACTTATTTCAAAAAGTTACGTAATCACAGGCGCCTGTTTCCTCTTGATTTTAGTGTGTCTTGAGACTTAGTACTATTAACATCAAAAGCGAGCTATTTATTAAAATTTAATAATATTTAAAAAATGAAACCAATAAATTTAAGTCATTAGCAACCACTATCACACAGTGAGTGTCGTTTAAAATTATGTCTATTATGTAAAAAGAAGAAGAAAGTTCTTTTCGAAATAACGGATACCTTAGAAAAATTGATACTTTTGATATAATAAATATATTATATTTAATTCATTTGAGACTTTTTTTTGTAATAAAAGATTTTTTTATAAAAAAGAAACAATTTTGTGTTTAAACTATATCTAAGTTTGATATATACATACATTATAACTAATTAAAAGTGTCTACTATTGTATTCACATACAGCTTTAAGTAAATTTTCTGCATATTGAGGATGCGATTTTTTTACTTTGTTTTATTCCATATTTTATTAAAGTCTGAGTTAGATGATTCCACCGCTTTTTCTGAATAAAACCCTAACCCTTTGTCGTTTTATTTATAAAAATCTTCTATGTGGAAAAATACTGTGTGAACCTTTGGTGTTACGTTTATGTCTAAACTCATATAACTTTCTCTAAATATCGCAATCTTCTCAAGATATCCTTCTTTTAATTTGATTGAGAAACAAGAATCAACAACGTTCTTGAATGATTCGAAACATTTTACATATTTCATACAAGAAAAGTTACTTGTTTACGAGCAAATTTCACGTAGAATGTCAACATTGTTCAATAATATTTTACTCGAATTTCCAACAAAACCTGCATGTCCGTAAAGTATTTCTCGGCTCACATTACACTTTTTGGCCCACAGGTTACAAATATTTTCAATCTTCTTATACATATTATCAAATAATGTATTTACAACTCACTAAAATCAAGAGGAAACAGGCGCCTGTGATTACGTAACTTTTTGAAATAAGTCAAAATAACTGTCAAAATATTTATTTCAAAATGAATAAACCAGTCTTTGAAAAAAAAAACGTAAAAATTGCTTTTTTTTGACGTAGTTAGTGTATCTAACCTCTCAAATAATGTTCTTATATTTAATAAGGCGAAAAAAAAAATGCGCTCAGGGAAATATTTTAATTTTTTCATTAATTATTTATTAAAACCATGTAGAACCATTCCCCGTTTATAACTTTGGGGTTCTCGAACTGTACATCTAACTTTTTTAAACCACACCGTGCGACGGAATTAACTAAGTTAATTACAAAAATGCTGAATGCTTATTACGTTGGGTTAATTGTACTGTGTGGTGTATGTAGAAAAATGTAAAGTGTAATAATTACACTTATTACAATTACAATTATTGTAAGAATCTGACTAAGCATATTTTTCTTAATACGCCATTGTGCCGTTTAGTAAAAGTACTGTAAATTAGTATTTTTTTTGTTAAAAACAAGTTAATTCATCTATTGGCATGGTTAAGATACCATTTAAGCATACAAATAATTTTGGCCGCCCAGATCGTGCAAATACCTGTATGTGCGTCGGTTATATGTTTTATTTTTTGACATTTAAAAAGTTTTAATAATAATTGTTAGATAATTATTTTTTTGTTATATTTACTAGATTTTAGTACATATTAAAATTAACACAAGCAGTGCTGGTCCAGCTCGATGCAAGCCGATTCTCCATGCGATACAAAAAATCAACTTTGGCGTGAATTCGAATGCAGAGAAATCTCTCGTCTCCCACCTTCCGCTCGATGACACGCAAGCGCTTTCGATTCGATTCGAATAGTTCGAACTATTCGAATACTTTGTTGAGAATCGAATGCATTCGAATGCACGCCAGAATCGAATATTTGTATTCGAATAGTCCCTTCACTACCACAGACCATCGTGGTGGTGTGGCTGTGCTACTAAAATCTCACATTCCTCACTCAAGAATCAAACAACTCAACTCCACTCCCGAACATATTGCCATAAAAATACATGATGCCTATATTGTGGGCATCTACAACCCCCCGTCAAATAAGTTTTCTGTAAACGACCTAAATGAACTAACTAAGTTTAATAAATTTGTTATCATCGGAGACTTTAATGCTAAAAATACCGCTTGGAACTGCAACCGAAATAATACTAATGGAATAACCCTATACAATTTTTTAATAAGTAATAGATGTTGCCTTGACTTTCCA